AATTTTCAGACAAAAGGAAGGCTTCTCAAGTCTGGAACAATTCAGCATATCAAAGCCTTCGGCAGCAGATCCGATAAGCCTCTCATCCACAAGGCCTGTTTAAGCTGGTATGTGGGCCTTGTCATGCTATCTAAAGGAAAGTCTCTATAGTTAGTATCTATGTCGTGTTACTCGTGTATGTAGATCCGGTGCCTGTTGATTACTTATAGACTATAATTGCTGTAGCATAATTATTCTGTTCTTGGTGGATTCAGTTCATAGTGTTGTGCAGTTTCCATTCTCTTTGTTTCTATTCAATATGTGTACTTGGTATTGTACTTCTAGGTTTCTTGAGGTGGAGAAGTTTAAAGATCAACTGCTCGAAGCCAACAAACAGACTTACTGGGTGCCGGATTTTGTAAAGGTGAGAGTACTCGTATGTGGGGCCTTCTTCAACTTTTTTTTTTATGCCTCATGTTGAAGATGACATGTGTCTCTGTAAAACAATTTCCTCTTGCAATGTGCTGTCTAAACTACTTTTTTTTTCAGTATAAATAATCCTACTTGTACTTTTTGCTTCTAGTCGTTGATGCTTATCTGTTTTGAATGTGATGTAAATGCTGTCCATGAGATTTTTTTTCTTCTTGTTACTTGAATTTTGACATGGATTATTCATTATTGACTTATTCTGTTCCCTGACAGGATAAACGGTTCCATAATTGGCTCGAGAATGCACGAGACTGGGCTATCAGCCGGAATAGGTTTTGGGGAACACCTGTTCCAGTATGGATCAGTGAGGACGGGAAGGAAATAGTAGTTGTTGATTCTGCTGCGAAGCTGGAAAGGCTTTCTGGAAAGAAGGTGTAAACTCTCTCCCTGTTTCCCATACTATTTTATCCCCAAGCGGTGTTTGATTTCTGTAAAATAATATTTTTGTTATTTTTGGAATGCAATAATTACGATTTGTTTGATATTAAGAAATCGCGAGTTTCAATACTTGATTTACTTCGAATATGTAGATGTGTATTTTGTAGGTCATGGCCATCTAAACTTAGTAGACTGAGTGTTGTATCTAATTTTTAGGTTTCATTTAGCGTCCTGTTAAGCTACATTAAGAGTTGTAGCTGGTGATGTCATGCAATTTATCAGCTTTGCTCTCTTTTTTGCTGAATTTTTTTTTTCCATTATGTCTTGTTGCTGTGTGATATGCTATTCTTTTAATTTTTCTAAATTAACTGACTTTCTTTCCCACAGATTGTTGATCTCCACCGTGAATTTGTTGATTGTGTAACAATCCCGTCTAGCCGTGGCCCTGAATTCGGTGTGCTCAAACGGGTCGAAGATGTAAGGCATTGGAACCTGAATTATGATGATGTGAATGCTTTTGCTCTTTTGTTAAAATCATTTCGATGTTTTCTATCGAGACTATGCATTCCTTGGCATGCTATCTCTTTTTCTCTTTTCTTCATGGAGAATGTGCGGAAATACTATCATATACACCAATCATATTGTCTTAGAGTGGTCAGTGATCGTGTAATTTGTGAATGGTCTTCTGCATTTCCACGTTTTCATGGTATTTTGGTGGAGATGGCATACTCTAATTATCGACACCAGACAAGAAGGTTTTAAGTAAAAATATCTTTATTTTATAGGTGTTGGATTGCTGGTTTGAAAGTGGA